AAACCACGTAAATAGCAAATTTTGAAATATTGTCTTCTAAATGAATTTGTGACTTTGTTAAGACGACTGTGAAGGTAAGCTACATTGACTATAATTGTAAGTCAATGGTAAGCTAGTTAATTTTTATTGCCCGTATTAATATTATGTCTGTCACTATTTTTCATGTTTTTATAAATGCTTTGATGACGCTATTTTTATAATATCGAGTGACAGGAAGAACAAGTCGTGCACTTGATGATAAACTACACGCCTGTCCGTAACAGTTGCAGTGCCACTCAGAGCTTACAAAGATCTGAGTGGCACCCTGAGACATAAGTTGACAAGTCCCATGTGCCTGTAATTTCACCAGCACCCTTACCCTTCAAAACCGGAACGAAGTAATGCTAACATTAACACCAGAAAAACATAAATTACATTGTCTTAAATGTACTAGTGTCAGAATATTAATTTCTTCATTATCTCCCAAATATACAGTTGAGATAATGTTGTACAAGATATCTGCCGATATAAGGGGTCTTAACGTGCAATATCAGAGCGTTATTACGAGCTGATAATTACGTGTTAAAGCGTTACTGCATGGAAGTAGGTTCGCAAAAAATCGATCGTGTCTGCAATAGGGCCGGACGAGAGAAGCTGAATCTTGTATATATAGCTTTTTGTGTTATTCCACGAGTACGGAACACTAAAGATTTGTACATTACTTTATTATCAAGTTTGTTGTATCTAAGAAATGAATCATGAACCGACGTAGAAATTTTGTTATCACGAACGTTACCTAATATATTTCTAGGGAATTCTTGTCGATATTATTTTATCGATAACTTTATGCTTTAATATGTAATTTTTAAAGTGCACGAGATTGATTACCAAAGATAACAAAAGTAAGCAAACGTAAACTGTCTTCGTGGCCGCACGGTAACGGTGGTCTGCCACGCAGCGGTCCCGGGTTCGTTTTCCGGGCCGAGAGAAATATTTGTATGGCCTACATTTATTTGTCTCGTGAGTTTCGGTACAATTTGTGTTTTGTTGTCTTATTACATGTATGGAATATACGCATTATGAATTGGTACAGTTACAATAATTTCACGATAATGTCAATTTTAATGATAGTGGAAAACACCGCGTTATCTAAAAATCAATTAAATTAAGGACTAAAACATTCACTCGGAACACATACGTGTAAGTAAAATTTCAACACTACGAATAACAATATTCGTATAAGTAATAAATAAATATTAGACAACATCACATAAGTTGTTCCAGTCCCAAAGTATGTAAGTAAAGCACTTGTTTATGGAAATTGGAAACAACGACGGTATCACAAACATCTAAACTCGGAACAATATATTACTCATTCTCTAATTTCCGTGGCAATTATTATTATTTAAGTGTTCGATTTTTTATCGTGCAAAATTATTTAATATTTGAGTTTTTTGAATTAGACGATAATATGCTTGAATATTTAAATAATAAAAATTGCCACGGAAATTAGATAGTGAACAATAATAATAATAATAATAATTTATTTTATTTTCTCTCAACATACAAGGTGAATAGTTTAAACAAAAGATGCTTACTGACTAATGAGTTTAATATTAAACCTTATTTGCGAGAGACTGGTGCCTGAGATAGGCATAAAGATACCTGTGATACAGGTCACCAGGATCCCCGTTCAATAGTCCGAGAATGACGAATGGGATCGAACCCGGGACCTCAGATTCGGCGACACCACGAAAATCGGCTTGCAAGCCATTCGTCACGGAGGTCGTGGTAAATAAAAATGAATACGCGAAAGAATCTGTGGACTCTGCATCTTACACAAAACCACCTTTCAAAATTGTACGATGTTGCGACGCACAATCTATCTTAATTAAAAGACCGACCTCAAAAGTTCGTGTAGTTTCATCTATTTGCCAAGGTTTACTGAAATCGGTTACCGGGAAGCGTGCGAAACATCCCCTAGTTTGCCACCCTTAGAGGTGGAATATTATCTTCTTCCTAACAAATAAAAAAGTCATCAAAATTGGCCCCGGAGTAATCGTCTAACAAAAAAAATACAGTCAATTAAGAACCTCCACCTTGAAAACGTTGAATATCTACACATAGTGTCTACTGTACTAAAAATTAAAAATTTACTTACTTTTAAGTCACACATTGATCAACCGGTTTGATTATAGATAATCGATAAATTAATATCGCTCGGAAATCACTAGTAAAATTATATTCGTGATATTAAAATGTTTAACCATAGAAGTAGTAGTATATAGAACATAACTTTATCATTTTTTGTAGTAACTCGGTGACTGTAAATTGTGCTATTGATTTTGCGTCGCGGAAAATATTTAACAGAAATATTGTAGAGTTCGTGATTCAAAAACAAAATGGTGGAACATGTGGAAGAGACGAATGAGAGGTCAAAGTTGTTGCGGTATCCCATTGCTGGTATTTATATAATATAGCACTGCTGTTACAATAGTGTTGTAACTCAAAATATGTAAAATTCAAGATTGTACTATTGTTGAAAGTAAAATTTGATTCCTTACAAGTCAATAATTATAATAATAATAAATAAATCGTTATTACATAGGGCGCACTATAAGTTTCCGGAACTGGCCACTTACATAGACAATATTTAAAAAGTAATTACAACATTTTGAAAGAGTTCCCTCTTTGGCTGTAGCATACAATTTGTTTCATCTGACTGTCACTTGTTTTTACATTGTGGCGTCATTTTAGAAATTGGTTGTCTACATCACCATGGATTTAACTCGTGAAAATTTTCGTAGTATGATTTTTCACGACTTTAAGTGTAATTTAACAGCTCAGCGGAGCTTCGCTCGGCTTGAAACTGCTTTTGACGATGAAGCACCATGCAAGACGACTATTTACGGAACATGGATTTATGGTTACGATCCCAAAATAAAGCAGCAATCGAGTGTATGGATCTTTCGAGATGTGCCGAAACCAACCAAAGTGGCGCGCGTGCAAAGTACCTCTAAGCGGATGATTGCTTCTTTTTTAATAAAACTGGACACGTGGCCTTGAAGAACCGTTGTACCGTGAATAGTAATTGGTACACGACCATTCGTTTGCCGGAAGTTATTGACGAACTCCGTAAAAATAGCCGTAAACGCCGTATCATCTTGCACCACGATAATGCCAGTTCTCACACGGCCCGACGGACAAGAAATTTTGAAGGTGAACAACGTTGACCTTATGAACCATATTATATATTATATTACATATTATAGTGCGCCTCCCCTATATTGTTTAGATGTCTCTAAGAAACATTAACCTATTCATAAATTTCAATAATCTTTCACGGAAAATGAGTCGATACTGAATTTTACATCGATTCTGAAAAAAATACAATTTTTGAGATAATACACTATTGTATTAACAATGCTATATGTTTCTTCTTTATTAGTACTCTAGTTAATAGGTATAGTTATCCCGGTGTATAAGTAAGGTGTAAGAAAAGCTTATAAATAGCCACCGGTTTAAAGAAAATACAAAATGTTTAGGTAAGAAAAATGAAACACGATTCTTGTGTTGTGTGTGCGGTTTTTATAGTACATTATCAAATTCAAATGTTACCCTTTGACAACAAAACAAATGATTTGAGGTATCTCACATAGATTTTTAGAGTGCAAGGGAGGTTAAGGAGTATCTTCCTTGGCCAGCAGATAGGTACTGCTAGACTAGTTTACTTTTGTTACTTCCATAGTATAATGTCTTATGGGATTCTCATGGGGGGTAAAACGGCAGATATACAAACTATGTTTGTGTTGCAAAAACGAGCGATTCGTTCTGTATCCTGTTTAGGTTCTCGGGTTTCTCTCAGAGAAAAGTTAAGGACACTGGTATCACAACTGTGTCATCACAGTACATTTGCTCAAATATTTTGTATGCTCGTAAATATATACGTAATTTCATTAAGAAAGAAGATATCCATAATATTAACCTTAATACTAAGTCCAAACTCATGGTACCACGATTTCGCTTAACTGGCTTATCATTTCCTAAGTTTAAAAATTATATTAAAAGCATTTTAATTGAAAAGTCATTATAAAATTGAAGAGTATTTGATAAAGATGTATTTAGTTAAATTTATTATTAATTAATAATAAATTAAACTTAACAAAAATTGATTTTGTTAAAATAAAATAATTTGCAAAATTTAATGTAGCGTAAATAAGAATGTTCTTTATTTATTTAAAAATAAGGTATTTAATTAATAACTTTTGTCAAAAATAGGGTAAAACAATAAGGTGGTTTGCATTAATATTAGACATAACTGGTTGATGACTGTACCGCCTCAGTCAACCGTGACCATGGGACCTGTAAAGGGCCCGAAACGTCGGTTTGTTTGGAAAAACAAATACACGCGATTTGAATCCGGAAAAATAGTTTTCATTTCCTTAAAGATCTTTGGTTAAAATAATTGTTACCACGAGTTTGGTTTATCTAAGGTAAATGATTTTTTTACGGGAAACTGTATACATTTTTACAATAAGATGCCGTAGTATATATTAAGATTATCTACCATTTCCTAAGTTTAAAGTATTTTAATAGAAAAGTCATATTACAAAATTGTAGACTATGTATGAAGATGTATAGAAAGACAACGTGAGTCTACATTCCACACAAATATGATTCAAAATGTATTTTCTATAGCATTTAAGTTTATTTGAAAAGAGCAATCCTTAGAGTTTCTTGCTCGTTCATCTCAGGGAGGTCAGCGTCACGAACGACGTTTTAAATTTTTAAAAATTTTACTCATGGAATAAATGATTATTTGCCTTCGACTATACTAACATAGTTTAGAAGTGTGTTACTAATTTAAATATGGATTTACATTGCCCGAAAATAAATAAATTGTCACTATTGTTATAGACAATGATCCCAACCATAAACACCTAACCAATCCCCAATCATTACTTCTGTGGCAAGTGCCCTGTCTTAACGAACACAAGTAGGTGCGAGGTAAAACGGGCGAGATGGCGGACCAGCCCAAATTCAACCACTTGGAAGCGAGGGAGCTAAACCTCGGAGCCAGCCTCACCGACAGCGATCCGTCGTCACAGTACCACACTGTGAAGTATGATTTTAGACCGGCGTCTGTGGACGAGCACAAAGTGGCTACAATGGATGTAGCTACCAAGAACGAAGTTACCATCACCGTGCCTCATTTAGACGGTGCAGGCGTGCCGGAAACGATATGCAAAGACAGCCACAGGCCTTACACCAAGGAGTGCGTGCTCATCATAGACCACGCCATTGGAGAGATGACGCTCGAGAAACTTTCTAGCAACATACAGCTCAAGAAAACGAGAGATAAGAAAAGCAATTTGCAACCGGGGCCTATTTTGCCAGTGCTTGCTTCCACCACCAGTACGACGCGACGCTTCTCGCGCACTCGCGTCCCTAGAGGCAACCGCTCTAATCGGAACCCAAGTATCAGGTGCACCAAACCTCAATGTGTACCTGAGAGTATAATAGCGCCTGAAAGTGCGATTGATATTGCTGGGCCCTGCAACCTTATGTACTCGATGCCGAGGCTGTGGATCTCGCAACCGCCGACTGTGACTTGGCATCATCCAAGTCCATGGACAGGTGGTGACGACAGAGATGCACCTTTGCTATTGCTTGGGTCGGATATTGCGCAGGCGCCAGCGTTCATGCCATCTTCCCCACAACTTGAGATGACGCATCAACAGGCATCACCGCTACCACCTTCGCCGATGAACGTACTCCAAGCGCTGGTGGACGATAACACCTCGACACTGTCGACGTTCAGCAACTCTGGCGATGTCAGCGTAGGAAATGATAGTGACATATCTTCCCCCTATAGCGAGCTAGATGATTCTGGCTGACGCCACTCGCGGTGCGTTGTCACTTCGTTCTACTCGATGGAGTCCACTGGTTTGCTCAGCAAGATTATGAACGTCTGGAAATGGATTCGATGTAAGTAATTGTTTTTTAACGAAGTGGGGATGCTGTTGAAAATATCAAAAGCGGGCTTGGAAATTATTTTCCGTCTCGCCCCGATGACATTCGTAAGTGAAAGTGCAGCGAGCTCGCGATATAGGTTGTAATTTACTCCCTGTCCGGTGGTCGGTGTCGGCTGCTATTTTGGCGATTCACCCCCTACAAGGTTTTATAATCGGAGAACCTTTACTGCTGGCATTTTTTAGTTCTGTGCCAACAATGGGTGGGATATCCCCATTGTTCATCTAAATTTTCATTGTTATCAATAACTGCTTTATTTTTATAATCAACCTGTATTACCAGGAACGCGGGACACACAGGGGGTGTTGTATAGGACGGGACTTTTACACAATGACTTTAATAACGCAGTAATAGGGAATCGGACAATTTTTCAGAAAGTGTCTAGAATTAACTAAAATAGATATGTACAGCCATGAAAAATAATATTTTATTAAAATAAAGCTTAAT